TTTAATGTTTGCATCCAACGTGGCTCATTGCAGTTTAATAGGTTGTAGTTTCCCTTTTATTACTTCTAGGTTTTACTAAATTCCTAGCTTGTAATGTGCGTTGGCTAAACGTAGCTACTTGTTGTGGACTGTGAGGCGCCGAGCTAGGATGCATTGGACAGTGTACAAGATTATATTCCTGGCGTTAATTAATGTTTAGTTAATGGTAAACCAGATATCTACTGTATCCATTTATATAGTTTAATTGGCATAATTTTAACCCTTGTGCGGTGTTCGGGTTTTCAGTGTTTAGAAAGAGAAAAAATATTCTTCCTTCCTTCCTTGCTTACAATAACGTAACAATGGAAGCTTGCCTCATGTATATCTTGGATAATATATTTTCGGATAAAAATGTTTTTCCACCCATATTTTCTGATAGATTTTTCTTCATTACACTTTGTCACTAAAACCAGTATCACGTTTCTTCATTACTGTGCTCTTACAGGTGAATTCCATGTATCTCAGTACTGCTTAGATTTGAGATCAAGTATCTTTGCATTAGTCGTCATGGCTGTATTGATTAAATAAAGCGTAATCTCACACCAAACAAGGGTTAAACGATAAACAGACCTTACTTTGCAGTCGGTCTTGCAGGAGTTCTAAAAACAAAATGAAACACTTTTCTAAAGGAACAAAATAATTCAGCTCATATACTCGATAATAAAACACTTTCGAAATTAACTCGAGAATAGATTTTATTTAAAAAGAAACGGAATGCAATACTATGCTCGTTAATTTTGATTATCGCAGTAATGAGTGGACAGACGTCCTAAATGAAGTGTTTTCTTTTTTAGTAGCTTCCAGCCGTTTGGATACAAACATTAATTGGCAAATAATATAACCCGATTTAGTCCCATAGTTGGGATTAATTGGACGTGTTATACATTATTACAGCAGCAGATTAGAATAGAATAAATAGATGCAGCATAACCTGTAACATCGGTGCTGTGCAACGTTAGAAACACATGTATAATACACGCTTGAAGAAGCATAATTTAAATGTATGTATGTGTGTGTAAATATATCAGCTGTCAGGTCTGACTGCAGTTTCTTGCAGCCCTGCCGTTTTTATAAATATTTTATTCTGACAGCTGGTTGTGTAAAATTTGAACCTCTGAGCCTTTTTTTTTTCCTTCGTTTTTTTAACAAGTTGAGCTTTAGAGTAAGAGTGAAATTGTGTGGTGAGCTTGTGGGTGTATGTGTGATGAGATATGATATCAAATTCTTCCCATACTTTTGTTGCATACAGACTGAACAATTGTGGCCCCTTTATTTTATTCATTAAGGTTCAGTGTATCTTTGCCAGCCTACATCAATCTGCAAAGGAGTTGCAGAAAAGCCTCATGTTCATCGAGCCGTGAGTCACACATAATTTTTAAAGCTGTTATGGTGAATATCCAAACAATTTGTTTGCCTTCCGGAAGTTATTGTAGCCTTTTTTCCTTTTTTTTTCTTAAAAAAAAAAAAAAAAAAAAATCACACAAATGGGTAAATCTTCAGTGGCACTAGTATTACTATTTGAAGTAGTATCACACAGCTTGAGCTAAGACGTCTGGTCGCGCTGAGTCCAAACGAGCAGTTTTCCATTACACGTCTGTTTTCAGAAGGCAATTTTAGCAGTCAGTCCACACACACACACAAAAAAAAAAA